CCATAAGACGCACCTTTCCATAAGACGCACCAATTTTTTAGGAGAAGAAAACAGGAAAATATAATCTGTTTTCTTCGCTCCATAAGACGCACAGACTTTCAACCCCCCTGTTTTGTGGGGGAAAAGTGCGTCTTATGGTGCGAAAAATACGGTGTATCACTCAAATAATGGCTGCCAACCATTGAAAATTAAAGTTACAGATGTTCTTTATTTACTCAGAATCACAATCATTGAAAGGACTTCTTTTGTTTATTTACTTGCCTTTTGACCAACTTGTGTATTTACTTATTACTATTATCACTTCTAACTTTGACTATCTAGCTCAGGGGTCTCAAACATGCAGCCCGGGGGCCATTTGTGGCCCACCAGATGATCGTTTGCGCCCCCCACCTTGCCTGTCCCCCTGAAGCGTCCACGTGTCCTCTGCTGTCAAGAGTCAAAAAAAGCCTCACCTCGCTCGCTGGTTCTCTCCCAAGACAGTGCCTCTTGCACCCTCCTGAGCCGCCGCTGAGCAATGCCTGAGAGTGGAGTTCGCTCCCAGCCCATCCTCAAAGAGCGCCTCGCAAGCCACCAACAGCAGCTGCCGCTATCGCCTCTTCCAGGGAAGCGGCTCTGTGGATCTCTCTCTCTCTGCACCCCCAGCACCAGCTCGGCCAGCGGCCAGCTCAGCACCCAAGGGTGCTTCCTGCTTCAGCTGCCTCGGCTCTGAAGGCTGCCTGGGCTCGCCTTGCAAAGTTCTTCACTTCTTTGTCCTGCTGTTGCTGCTGGTGGTGGTAGTGAAGAAGGAACTGGAGGTGGTCGTGGCCAGTGACGAGTCGACAAGCGGCCAACTCAGCACCCAGGGGTGCTTCCTGCTTCAGCTGCCTTGGCTCTGAAGGCTGCCTGGGCTTGCCTCGCAAAGTTTGCACCTCTGTCGTGGTAGTGGTAGCTCCTGCTGCTGAGTGTGCCTTTTTTTGAGGGGGGCCCTCAGTGGAAGGTTGCCGGACCTCCGTGTGTGTGTTTTTGTGTGTGTGTGCGCATGCCCCTGCACGCACCTGTGGGGGGCCGCCCCATTTTGTTTAATTTCACGGGTACTGATGGGGGCTTTTCTCCCTTGGCAAGGCATTTCTGTGAGGATTTTTAAAAAATATATATGTCATGTCCCCCTGGCTAGGCGGTCGCTGGCGCTCCCTCCCTTCTTCACTTCTTTGTCCTGCTGTTGCTGCTGGTGGTGGTAGTGAAGAAGGAACTGGAGGTGGTCGTGGCCAGTGACGAGGGCTCGCGAGCCCCTCCTCCTCCTCCTCGGAGCCCCAGCCGGGCTAAGGAAACTCCTGGGCGGCTTCCTCAGGCTCTTGCTCCGCTTGGCGGGAAATCTGATGCAGCCCAGCCTCACCCAGACTGCCTCCCTCCGGTCCCCAGGTAAATTGCGTTTGAGACCCCTGATCTAGCTTTTCTCTAATTCTTGGCTAATTGAAATCCCTAACTGATCTTTAACTGTATCCCATTCTCTTCTTATATTCCCCTTGGTTCCGCCCTCCTGCTCAACCATTGGGTGCAAAATCAGTGTTCCATTGTAATGGACAGGTGTGGTTTCTGGCCTGTCCGTCACAACCGATTTCATCTGCAGCTCTTACTGATGTAGTACAACTGTTTTATCTTTTAAAAACATATCTTGAAGTGAGAACATTTATTTGCATTACAAATCCCCATTCTTCTCATTACTCAGATTCGAAGCTGGGTCCAGCCGAAGCCTGGACATCCAGACAAGCTTTACAGGACTTATACCAGAAAATGCTTGTTACAGATTTGGAATACGCATTGGACAAAAAAGTGGAACAAGATCTGTAAGTAGTTTAAATAAGATGTGTGGTTTTCTGAGTGAGACCCATTTGATTAACAGCTTGAGGCAAAAACAGTGCAATTTAACAAATAATAAGCTTTTTTTGTGTGTTAAGTTTTAAACATCTGATTTTGCAGCATTCTATGTGGAATCACATAAAATTAGTTTGGAACTGTCAAGTTTGGCTAAAGATGCATTTTGTGACTTGTTTTGCAATGGCTTTCCTTTCTGTATTGCAAAAAACCTGGTGATAATGTGGGACAAAGGGCTAAGGCTAAAAGTTTTATTTAAATTTAGTATCAGTGTATGAAACCATTTGAAGTAAATGGCACGTAAGGTTCTAAAAGAGTATGAATCTGCACTGGGGTTATGTAATATGTGGTATCTGCTTAGATCAGTGTTGCCCACAAAACCCTGATATTTCTCATCTGTAGACTTGTTTCTCACCAAGCCTTTGTTTTGGATCAGTTTGTCACTTCATGATGTTTACTAAATTTACTGGTGACTAAGGTTATGCTGTATGGCAATTTATTGTACTAGATAAAAGTAAGGAAGTTTATAGAATCACTGACTTGTCTTATACTCCATGTTAGACCTAAGAAGCAAGATAGTTGAGATCTGCATCCAGCAGGCAATCTGTATATGTTAGACCTAAGAAGCAAGATACTGTAATTGAGATCTGCATCCAGCAGGCAATCTGTAAAGCCTATAGGTGGTACCTAGAGTTGGGTGGTTCTTAGACACACTTCAGTCTATTATGTGAACTAATGTTTCCCCACATTTCTTTTGGTCTCTCTTTCTGGATGCAGTGCAGGCATATACTGCATATAGATTTCATTGAGGTTTTAGCAAAATGTCTTTCACTGCTATGGATCAGCTGATGATGGAAGGGAAAAGAGCCAGAATATTTCAGACAGCTGTTATATCCTCTATCAAGGATACCTATTGGACAAATTAGAATTGAACCCTGTCTTTCATAATATTTACCTAAGTCCCTCCTTTTTTGTGTTCACTTTCAAACTGATTAGCACTTGCTTTTGTCCTAATGCCACTTTGAAAACTAAGTATGAGGTAGTGAGCTAGGATCCTAATAGTTGTTGTTAAGGTAGCTTACTGTCAAGTTGTTTGGTGTCACAGATATTATTCATCCATGTCCTTGATTTGGCTTAGTTATTGTCAGTTGTGGGGCTGGAGATAAGACCATCATTTGCTCACTTCTACGTAAGAGTTTATAAATATGTATAGATATACAGTGGTGCCTCGCTTGATAAGGATAATTCATTCCGTTCAAATTGCTGTTAAGCGAAATCCTCATCAAGCGAAATTAAAAAGCCATTGAAATACATTGAAAACTGGTTCAATGCATTCCAATGGGCTAAATCCCTCAGCGTCCAGCGAAGATCCTCCATAGGGCGGCCATTTTGGACAGCAGGTGGCCATTTTAGAGCCACTGATCAGCTGTTTTAAAATCATCGTCTAGCAAAAAATCGGTTCCCGAAGCAGGGAACTGATCATTGTTAAGCGAATTTTCCCCATAGGAATGTTGTTTTGCGATCGCAAAAACTTCATCGTAAAGCGGTCTCGCCGTTTAACAAGGTGATCATTAAGCGAGGCACCACTGTATAATAGTTGGGTGCCTAACCAGATTCTTTTCTTCCTTGACCAGAATTTTAGTGTGACTGTTCCAATCCCTCTATTTGTTTAGAACATGTTAAAATCTATACAGGGGTAGTCAAACCTAGGAAAGCAGTGCTTACTCACAATTGCTGTCTTGTGTTCCTGTGGCAGGCACTGAATGTACAAATGGAGCTATATTTGTGCATTTCTTTTTCTGATAGAAACATTCAGTATTTTCCACAATTATCTGTGGGAGAAAAAAAGTGGTTCTTCATCGTGGTCTTCTGTGAATGCACACAAAAGGGTTAAGTCAGCGCCAGCGTCGGTCCTTTCGGAATGTTCTCGAGCTCTGTAGAAAAAGAAACATAGTTTAAGACTGCCTATACTGTGCATGCTCCGCCCGCCCAAGCCTCAGTTCCATTTCTACGCTGTGCGAAGTGGTTCCTTTCGGCTTTAGCTCTGCTAATTCTATTTGCTGTTTGTTTTACTGTTTTTTTTCCGAACTTGGCGTGCTTATTGACTACTCTTTTGCCTTACAGACTCTGTTTTGGGTGTTACGGTTTTTTCCCTGCTGTTCTAGCTGGTGTTTACCCTTTTCCCGCCATTTCTGCTGGCTGAGTCTTGGTTCTATCAGTCTTTGCCTATGTCCCCCCCCCCATGCTCTGGCCCCTTTAGCGGGGAATCGCATTCATCACAAAATTGCAAGCGCTGCAAGGCTTTTACTAAAGCTGCTTTGAAGGCACGACAGCAAAGGCTAAAGTTGCACTTGTGGGATTCTGCTGTGTCAGCCTCTAAACCGTCCGCTATGGAGCTCCCGTCTCCTGCTGCCACACACACACCCCCCGTGCTGAAGGGAGTCCTCACCAGATACCTGCTCTTAATCCTTCTGAAGTGCCTGCTGCCAAGCCAGCAAAGAAGCCGTCTGCAATTAAAAAGACATCTTCTTCTAAGGCTGCTTCTGCTGCCAAGCCTGCAAAACAAATGAAGACTAAACAGTCAGTCAAGAATAAAGATTCTGTCCAGCAGCTTCCTCCTATTTCCTCATCTCTTCCCTCGCCGATTTTGGGGGACTCATCTAGGGACAAGGATTCCATGTCGGAGGCAGCCCCTTCGCTCCCTCCCAGGCAAGCAGAGCCAGTTTTACCCCTTGGTGTTCCCTCCCCGAAGCCAAGCCAGCTTGTCCAGGTTACTGCAAGCTTGGGTTCAGCCCCTTTGAGCCCTATTTCCACCGGGCGGGCATCTTTGGCTCATTCCGTGTCTCTAACTCCCTCCCGTCAAACCTCGCCTCCACGAAAGAAAGCGGAAAAAAGGAAGCATATATCTGATGATCGACATCGATCACCTCACAGGGACAGCAAAGGGAAACATTGTCGTTCTCGACGTCGACATAGATCGTCTTCGGATGATTCATCCACCTCGGGGTCGAGGCGCAGGAGGCACAGACGGCGCCATAGAAGGAATTCTTCTACTTCCTCCTCTTCAACATCGCCAGACCATCGTCGACGTCGTCGGCATGTCAAGTATATATGTGTCATCTTCGTCTGCATCGACACCCCCCCCGTGGAAACATCGCTGTCGACGCCGAGAGGAGGCTGAGAAATTCCCTCAGACAGCCCCGCTTGGGGCTAAACCAGTGGATCCTTCTATTATTTCTCCTTCAATGTTGACAGCACTGCCACCTCCACAGCATGCTACTACTGCTGTGCTCGACGTCGAGACTCGACATCAGAACAGGAGCCATGAGATGTTCTCTGAAGATGATGTACCATTCTCTTCTTAAGCTTCTGATTCTGATGGTGACTTGCCTCAGCAACCAAAGACTGATGAGTTGCCGGTAGGAGAGACGGTTGAATCGGACACTGGACTGGTACATGACTCCTCGCCATCCGAGGATTTTTCTTCCTACCCCAGATGTTATCGAGATTAGCGAAGACTCTTAAGTTGCATGTGGACGAGCCCCCACCTCTGGAGGAGGATCTTATATTTGGGGACATTAATAAGGAATGCTCCCCACCTCCTAGCTTATCTTATTTACCGGCTTTGTTGGGAATTATTAAGGAACTCTGGGACCATCCTTCGATCGCAGTCCCGTTACCTAGACACACAGGGAATATGTACAAGATCAATGGTGATGATGCTAAATTCCTTCCGAAGCATCCAATTCCTAACTCCCTGATAGTCGAGACCAGCTGTACCAAGCCGACTGGGAGAGCTCATGTTATTCCAACAAATAAGGAGGGGAAGAAGCTAGAAATGATAGGCAGATGGCTCTATTTCCTTCATGCTGTGAGTAGCTAATTGCCAGACTTCCTTAGGTGCTTACCAGAAACAGTTATGGCTCAAGATTCTCCCAGGTTTAAAATTGTTGCCTGAAGATGTGAGGCAAGGATACCTCACCACCTATGAGGAGGCGCAAACCATTTCCAAGCATCAGAGAATCACCACTAGACATTCGGTGGAGGCGGCTGCTAGGATTCTTGTATCTGCTGTTACTCTTCGCAGACATGCATGGCTTCGGTCTGCAAATATTCTTGATGACATGAAGACCAAGGTGGAGGATTTACCTTTCGATGCCTTGGGTCTTTTTAATGAGAAAACCGATGGCCATCTTGAAGAGCTGCACAAGGCCAAAAAGACGGCTAAATCCTATTACATTCAGCCTCAGCCCAGATTCAATCGACTGGTTGGTGGTCTCCAGATCCAGGCACAGGGCCCTGAAAGACACAAAGTTTATTCTGCACGTCCTTCGAAATCTGGGACTCAAGGTGAATTACAAAAAATCCCATCTAACCCCCTCAAGAGTTGTAGATTATATTGGAGCCACGATAGATGCTGTCAAGGGTCGCATCTTCCTTCCACAGGACCGAATCCGAAAAATTTTGAAAGTTTTAAGGAAGTTCAAGGCAGGAGCCACAGTGTCTGCATTACATGCTCAACATCTCCTGGGCCTTATGGCATTGACAACCCCAGGCTTGGCTCATGTTTGTCTCAAACTCAGGTCCCTGCAGGTGTGGCTCCTCTCCCTCTTTGACCCTCTTCAACATCATCAGGAAAGGCGTCTTCGAGTCACACCGGAGTTGGTCCAACAACTACGATGGTGAAGCTTTGTTCCTCACTTGCAAGTAGGATGTCCGTTTCCCTCTCTGTCTGACTGTCCAGGTCACCATGGACGCCAGCCCCACAGGCTGGGGAGTGCATTGTGCCCAGCATCGCATACATGCTCGATGGTCAGCACAGGAACAAATTCTCCACATCAATCATTTGTAAATTCTAGCCATCTTCAAAGCACTCAAAGCCTTTCTCCCCCTCATACATGGTCGCGGGGTCCAGGTAGTCATGGACAGTACCACGGCCATGTACTATCTAAACAAACAAGGGGGCACTCACTCTCACTCCCTGTTGTTTCTGACGGTGATGCTATGGGAATGGTGTTACCGCCACCACATTTTTCCGGTGGCGGTCCATGTAGCGACAGAGAACAATGTGCTGGCGCATGAATCAGATACACGAGTGGGAACTGAATGCCAGGGTGTTTGACGATTTGTGCCGTCATTGGGGCACCCCTGTCATGGACATCTTTGCCACTTGAGCAAACAGGAAATGCCCAAAGTACGCTTCCAGGGCAGGCCGGGGACAGGATTCCATGGGGGACGCCTTCATGATACCATGGATCTGCAGGTCTGCTCTACCTGTTCCCACTGTTTCCCCTGGTGCAGAGGACACTGGTCAAATTGCGACAAGAATCGGCAGAGGCAATCCTAGTGGCGCCGTTCTGGCCTCGTCAGTCGTGGTTTCCGACCTTAGCATCAATGGCAATAGACTATGACACTTCCACTTTTTCTCGCTCTGCTCACTCAGGATGCGGGTAAGGTGTTCCACCCGGACCTCAAGACGATACATCTCACTGCATGGAGGATATCCCCGAGATTAAGGAAGTTTTAGATAAGTCTAAAAGGGCGTTAACTTCTCGGCTATATGGGTATAAATGGAGAAGTTTTCTCAAGTTTATCGAATCTAAAGGTCTCGCTTCACGTCCAGTCACCCTTTCTACTTTGTTGCAGTTTCTGCGTTACCTGTTTGATTTCAACTTATCAATTTCAACTTTGAAAGTTTATATTGCAGCTATCGTTTCCTTCCAACCAGGATCACCTGCGTCTCGCTTGTTTTCTCATCCTACGGTTAAAGCCTTTCTCAAGGGACTTACACATTTGCGACCCCCTGTTAGACGGCCAGTGCCGCAATGGTCGCTTCATCTAGTGTTGCACTCCTTGATGCGTCCACCCTTTGAACCGATGGCGACATATGATCTCAAAATGTTATCAATCAAAGCTTTATTTTTGATGGCTATAACTTCAGCCTGCAGGGCTAGCGAGCTGGCCGCCCTTCAAGCTGATCAACCCTTCTTACAGTTTTTTCGGGACAAGGTGGTGTTGCACACTGATACCTCATTTCTTCCCAAAGTGGCCTCTGAGTTTTGTTTGAATCAACCTCTTACACTGCCTACTTTGTTTTCTGAACGTGCCAGTGACACAGAGCGCATGCTCCACACCTTGGATGTCAGAAGAGCGCTTGCTTTTTATGTTTCACGGACTAAGGAATTCAGGTTATCTCCTAAACTTTTCTTGTGTAATTTCAGACAAAAGAAAGGCCTCCCTGCCTCGCCTTCATCACTTTCGAGATGGCTTGTTTGTACAATATCTTTGGCTTATGAACTCCAACAGAAGGAACCACCTGAAGATTTATGTGCTCACTCCACCAGAGCAGTTGCCTCTTCTACAGCCCTCTTATGTTGCGTCGATTTGCCTGACATCTGTTGGACTGCCACTTGGTCTCAAGCATCCACCTTTATCACTCACTACAGATTGGACCTGAGGGCTAAGAGAGAGACAAGGTTCGGAAGAGCTGTGTTGGCATCCGCCCCTCATTGATGGCCCGCCTTCCGGTGAGTTAGCTTGCTAGTCACCCTTTTGTGTGCATTCACAGAAGACCACGATGACGAAAGAGAGGTTACTTACCTGTAACCATGATTCTTCAAGTGGTCATTCTGTGAATTCACACAATCCCGCCCGGATTGTAGCTCATGCTTATTTATCTGTGGCAGATAAATGGAACTGAGGCTTGGGCGGGCGGAGCATGCGCAGTATAGGCAGTCTTAAACTATATTTCTTTTTCTACAGAGCTCGAGAACATTCCGAAAGGACCGACGCTGGCGCTGACTTAACCCTTTAGTGTGAATTCACAGAATGACCACTTGAAGAACCATGGTTACAGGTAAGTAACCTCTCTAATCCTATTCCCCAACTTCTCTTTATGACTATTCTAAGGTTTTGGATAAAGTACGGTAGTAAACTATGATCATGTATAACACTTGGTATTTTAGAAATGTTATTGAAAGCTCCAGTGCTTATAAAAGACCAGTGCCATTTAGTAGATTTTGAGTCATATTTCTTTTTCTAGATGGAATCATGCCTTTAAGAATCAGATTACTACTCTACAGGGTCAGGCAAAAAACCGATCAAATCCAAATCGGAGTGAGGTTCAGGCAAACCTTTCTCTGTTCCTAGAGGCAGCTAGTGGCTTCTACACACAGGTGAGTGAAGGAACAATGTTGTCACTGATGCAGTGAAATGGATTGTGATCCATGAAAGCTCATACTGAAATGAATCTGTTAGTGTGAGAAAGTGCCTCGATTGTTGTTTTTTTGTTTTGTTTTTGTTTTGTTATTCATCAATAAATGGGTAAACTGTTTCTTGTGACATTGAATAGTCCTGACTAATAAACAGGATTTTAAAAAGAATTGTTCAATTAGGGAGGCTTCAGGGACAGCTTCTAGGATATAGAGAAGGATTCTCGCGCAGCATAGTACCTCTAATCCAGCTGTTCTCATAAGTTTTCTGCAACACAATTATTTTGAAAAAAATCTGCAAAGAAAAGCACACCCAGAAATTGCAATGGTGTGTATGTTAAATGATTAACATCTCTATAACATGGTTTAAAACATACAGTTTAATACCAAATTCCAAGTCTATATGTAATACACGCAACAATTCTGATTAGAATATTTCTGCTGGCTACAGTTTTTTCTTGGTATTGAATGTTTTCAAGTTACTTTATATGGCTTTTAAAGAATTGAATACACTGTAAAATGAAACTAATGCAAGACATCCTTCATGAACTTGCAACTAATGCATTTGTGTCAACTGTTTCACTGACCTTTTCTTTTGCACTTAATAGTTGATGAGCATGAGGTGGTGAGCTACAGTTCTGTTTTGTATGGACAAGAGATGAATTTTTCTGATTGAGAATTTTTGAGGAGGTTGGCTTTTTATTATTGGCCTTATACAACGTTTATGTGTTTAAAAAAACACAGCCCCACTGAAGTTTCTAAGAAATAGAGCTATCTAAGGAAGAGGAATTGTGGTAGATTCAGGATAATAAATCGTTTAAATGCATGAACTACAAAATAGTTCAAAACACATATTTAACCTATGGAACATGCTAGAATAAATTATGATAATGGCCACCAACATATATGGCTTTAGGAGGGGCTTGTTACTAGCCATAATGACTATATGCTACCTCCAGAATGATGCCATGTCTCTGAATGCCAGTTGCTGTACAGTAAGATGGGAGAATGCTGTCCAGTTTGTGAGATTCCCACGGGCAACTGGTTGGCCATTGTGAGGAGCAGGATGCCATATTGAGTAGGCCTTTGTTCAAGTCCAGAAGGATTTTTGTATTCCTGTGAGTGTGTGAGTTTTCCACCTTACCTTTGCAAGTGTTCTTTTGAAGTAATTCTCTGGATACAGAATACCATGGGGACATAACTTAAATTGGTTGTAAACCATTGGTCTATCTCATAGGTTCTTAAACTGTGGTCTGTGGACCCCTGGAGTGCCGCAGTGTTCTCACAGGGGGTCTGCAAAGGCTTGAAGAAATGTGGTATTTTGTAGTTGAAATAGAAAGAGAGAGAGAAAGAAAGGGAAACAGAGAACAAAATCCCCTGGCTTAGTTGTGTAAAATTTGGCTTTATTCATCTACTGCCTTCATTAAAAACAAAGAATTGTCTGTGGAAGACACATCACTTATCACACAACATCTGGAAGATCTGTATCATAGTTTCCATGAATATTTTCCTGTTCCTGATGTGATCAAAAACCAGGTTAGAGATCCATTTTCACTTAATGTGTGTGAACTAGAAGGGCTCACAGCAGCAGAGAAAGACAAATGTATAGAAATATCCATGGATGGTGGTTTGAAATTGCAGTTCAAGGAACAGTCCCTTCCAAAAGTCTGAGCTCACCTACAAGCAAATTTTGTAGAACTATCAAAGTGAACTATGAAAGTATTGATGCTTTTCGTAATAATGTACTTGTGTGAAAAATCATTATCTGCTCTTATCTTAAAATTAAGTACAGAAACCATTTGAAAAATGTAGAATCCTAATTCAGAATGCAAGTTTCAGCTAATAAGCCCAATATAACAAGGTTTTTAACTGAAATGCAGCACCAGCCTTATCATTAATTATAATTATATTAATATAATATGTTCCCCTTTTTCCACCCAGCTTGTATTTAATGAGGTACAATTTTGGACAACATTCATGTCATTTTCTAGCTTTCATTTTCATGTGACATTTTGTATGTGTATGTCATATAAATGATTTTATGTGTTTGCAATTTCAGTTTCTCCAGCAAGAATTAAAGTTTTGTGCTGGTGGTGTATGGGATAATTCCAGTAAAAATATTATAATAGGAATGTGTGCATTAACAGATTAATTTATTTCTCCCTTCTATCTAAATTTGAAGACACACACACACACCATGAGAAACGTTAAATAAATATTTGATGCACTTTGGTTCTTTGGTGATCCATGTCAACAAAATATACTTAAAGGGTGTCCATGGTAAAGAAAAGGTTAAGAATCATTGTTCTACCTTGTGTGGTACAGTTTAGTCTTGAGTGTCAGAAACTCTTCAGTGCATCATCAGAAATCTTTATCAGCTATGCAGTATGAAATTCTTTTAACCAGAAATCTTATGAATTGAACCTCGAACCCTTTTGAATACAAAAGCATGTCTTACCACTGAGTTAATGCTTTTTGATGAAAGAAAATAACTGTAGAATGATCAGATATGATTTCCTTTGTCTGTTAAATGTTTTTTCAGGAGATATTAAAATCTACATTTTCATGTAATCTTACATAGGTGTTTTCTTTTTGTTTGATGGATGATGGTGATGGATGTCTAAGCGAAGCAGCCAAGTGCTTAAAGTCATGCAGAGAAAGGGCAAGATCTGTTGTTAGTCCTTCTAGAGTGCAGGACATGTACTAATTGACTCAAGTTACTGAAAACCAAATTTCAACTGAATAGTAGGAAGAATTTCTAACTGTTAGAGCAGTACAACAGTGGAAGCAGTACAACTTTGAAGGTGTTGAATGCTCCAGCACTGGAGGCATTCATGAGAAAGTTAGTCAGCCATCTGTCAGATATACTTTAACTTGGATTCCTGCTTTGAGCACGGGATTGACTTTATTAGAACCCTTCCAACTCCATTATTCTGTTCTGTTACTCAGTTCTAAATGCAGACTTTGGTTTTCAGGCTTTCATTGAAAATCTGGCTGCTATATCTGAAAGAACTGTTACATTTGATCTCATCTAATTATAGCTGCTGCAGGAGCTGTGTACAGTATTTAATGTAGATTTGCCCTGTCGTGTGAAGTCCTCCCAACTGGGAATTATCAGCAATAAACAGACGCACACCAGCGCCATTGTGAAGCCACAATCTAGTTCCTGCTCATATATATGCCAGCACTGCCTTGTCCACCTTGGAGACATTGGTGAGTAGTAGAAATAGAAAAAAACTCTATACAATCTTATCTTCAAGACTAAGTTGTGTATAAGCTGTGCATCTTTAAGAATAGCAGGGGTGTGAATGTATACCAGAAAATGTGAACATAGTAGATCAGAGATAGGCAGTAATTTATGGTGTCATGAGAAAGGGTAATACAGTGGACCCTTGACTTACAGACGGCTTGACTTACAAACTTTTTGAGTTACAGACTTCTCTGGCCGCAAAATTTAGGTTTGACTTGCAGACTGAGGTTTGACTTACAGACCAGAAAAAAAAAAGGAACAAAAACGGCCTGTTATGGGATTAATCGGTTTTCAATGCATTGTAGGTCAATGGAGACTTGACTACAGACTTTTTGACTTGAGAACCGCCTTCCAATACGGATTAAGTTCTCAAGTTAAGACCCCACTGTAGGAGTTCTCGACCATTGAGTTAGGACTCCCATATCAATAGGCAGCATGAGCAGCTTGCTTCACATGGCATGTGCTGCAATGCCATTAAAAACATAGTAGGTTATTCATAGTTTTTGGAATTTGGAATTGTTTTAATTACTGCTTTAGATAAGTTAATAAGTCTTTCCATTGAATGAAAAATTGCAAGCAGTCTTTTCAATGGGGGTGCTCTCACTGAACATTTGAGTAGTGAGATCCGTTGAGGGAGATTTCTAGAAAGGTAATTGTGAAGGAGAAAGGAGATGTAGTTTTTTTAAAGATGTAAGTACGACTTACAAACGTCCCTACATATGAACTTTTCGAATTACGACCAGCTCCGGCCACAAAATGTTGCTTCTACTTGCGACCAGAGCTTCCACTTATGAACAGAAAAAGGCAGGGGGGAAAGGATTTCCCGTCCTTTCTCCCTGCCTTTTTGCCTTCAGAGCTCTCAAAGGGCTTTCCGCCTGACATCAGAGGAAGCCCTTTGAGAGCTCCGAAGGTGCCGATCACTGCAGTGGGGACCCCCAGGGAGGTCTCCCATGGTGACGGGCAAGCCCTGGGAGACCTCCTTGGCGGTCTCCACCGCCGCAATCGGCACCTTTGGAGCTCTTAAAGGGCTTCCTCCGATGTCAGGCGGAAAGCCCTTTGAGAGCTCCGAAGCAAAAAAGGCAGGGAGAAAGGGTGGGAAATTGGAATTTCCAGCCCTTTCCCCCTGTCTTTTTGCCTTTTGAAATGCTGGAATGGATTAATTCCGTTCCCATGCATTTCAATGGGAAATGGTACTTTGAGTTACAAACTTTTTGATGTACGAACGTCTTCCCAAAACGGATTAAGTTTGTAAGTCGAGTTACCACTGTAAGTAGTACTATTTATATTGAATGACAATAGCAATGTGCGAGTGTAATATGAGAGGGTAGGTACACTAGAAGCAAGACTGGAGCTAAGTGAGATCCATTAATCCAGCATTTCCTAGAGGCAGCTAACTAGAGGTCTTTTGATGTACTCAGGCAGAGCAAGATGGTAATGGCCCATCTCTTTGACCCTCCTAATAAGAGTCTTTTGCGGCTTATATCTTTAATTTCTAATGTTCAAGCTGTTTAGATTTGTAATATGAAGATGCTATTCTATAAACATTTCTAATTTGCACAACATCAGTGTTTTAGAAACAAATATAGCACACTTTTTTGTATGACAATGTTCTGTTAGTCTTTTAAACTTCTGTTTTGTTTTTCAGCTCGCTACAGAAATCAGACCAGCCAGGCTGAGTCCTACTATAGGCATGCAGCTCAACTTGTCCCCTCCAATGGTGAGTTATGTGACTGAGTTTGTCAATTCCTGATAATTCTTTTACATATTTATGTGGAAGCAAATTCCATTGTGTTTGTGGAAGCTTGGTTCAGTTCATTTAACTTATTTAGAATTGTGATATTGTAAATGAAGTAGCTCCTTGAGATTTGCATGCTAATTTAACTGTGTTCTACAGAATGCCAGTTTTGCTTCTGCTACTCATCTCCATTTCTTGAAAATCATTATGGACCATAATTTTTTTTAAAGGAAGCTGGTCAACATATCTGCTTTGAAAGAAGGAGATTATTGCATTGATTGGTCTGTATTAGCAATAAGAAGACATAGGACTTCATGCTTTATATAAGCTAGACATGTATTTTTAATATAATTTCTATCTGCGTTTGATCTTAAGTCCTCTCTCCATGTTGATTACACAGAATAATAAAATACAATTAAACTACTCATTACATTAATCTATGTACGTATTTCCTCTTTCATTTAGAAGGTCTTCCCCTTATGTTGCCTTCAGAATTCTCCATCTCCCATTGACCTTTTTAGACTTCTTGTAGTTTTCCTTGCCTCATCTTAAAATATACACACAGAGAACCCCCTGCTTTTCCTACTTCAAGCATAAGAGTTCAACATCCTCTGTTTGCTGCAGAAGGCAGCGGAATTAGTTGCAATGAACTAAATTTTGGTGCAAAAAACTTTGCTTAGATGTCTGATTATTCTTGGTTATTTATTTATTTATTTATTTATTTGTTTGTTTGTTTGTTTGTTTGTTTGTTTGTTTGTTTGATTTTTACCCCACCCCTCTAGACCATGTCTACTCGGGGCAGCTTTTCAAATACTGTTATGCCATGAAGCCAAGATACAGTGGTGCCTCGCTTAACGAGCGCACCGTATAACGACGAAATCGCATAGCGATCTGTTTTTTCGGATCGCTA